CTTCTTTGTTAAGACAATTTGTCGCTTTTTGGCTCCCGTTTGATCCCCTGATGTTTCCCTATTCTGAACATTTATTACTGATTTTGCAATAACACAAACACTGAGTCAGCCGGGAGATTTAAATGAAACTGTAATGATCCCTGAGGCTAAACTTACCATTGCAGCAGGAGAAGATACACATAGAATGAGAGTGTGATCAGCGCATACAGAGCAGACTGGAGGTTAGAAGAGAATGTGCAGTAATGAATAACAAGCTGTTCAGTTTAATGGATAAGTGGATGAAAGAGCACAGCTGGAATATGTTTATGTAGAGGAGCGGGGTTGCTGATGATGACTGCCTGAAGTCACAGAAATCATCATCATGAAGATGCTTTTTATTTCTTAACAACAGGAAAGATAAATGACAGAAAAAATCTGCAGGGGTTCTCCTCAGAGTGTTGAGTCAATTCTATCTCGTTAATTAATCAATAACGTGGCATGTCACTGCAACATTTTCCCTTAAGCTTTATCTGACCTTAAGTTTGATGAGAAATGAATATTGATCATGTGTCGAGGTGGACATATTAACACACACACACACACACACACACACACGCACGCACACACAGAGGCACGCCAAGCATAACGAGATGATTATTTCCTGAACTGTTTACAACATCACTGGAAATAAGCCTGCTCTGTCATTATGTTGTCAATAAATCCCTGCATGACTGTAAAGATCAAAACATCACAGACGACAGTGTGAACAGGCATCACACAGTTTTATCTCCAGGGCTCCAGGGCTGGCAACAGTGGTCAGTTGGCCACCGCTTTGGACCAGGCTGAAACATCACTGACAGATATTGTATGGATTACCATGCACTTTGATACAGACATTATTCCTGACAGGATGAATAAGTAATATCCCTTCAGGTTAGTGAGTTTATGACCAGATATTTACAAAACTAATGTCATTCCCATCAGCCACAGCTGTACTTTGCGTTAGTGCTAATTAGCAAATGTTACTTTGCTGTCATTATGGGTTGCCACCTGTGATGTGTGAAAAAGCGGAACACTCGGAGGGGGGTGGGGTGGGGTGGTGTTGGGGTTGGATACATTATATTTTTTTTTGGTCATTTATGTGACAGGACAGTAGAGACTGACAGAAAATGCAGGGGCACAGAGCTGGGGAACGACATCCAGCAAAGAGTTCAGCCAGGCAGGAGCTGAACCAGGAAATTGCATGCTGAGGGTGTCTGCGCCCACTGCATATGCGCCCAAACCAACTGGCCAGCAGGTCATCCAATTCACGGGGTCGTGGATGTGGCTGCAGTTGCTAGGTAATAAAGTGAATTGGGCACTGTTGTATTCGTTTACGGACACAGGATTGGACATAACTAGGAAGAAAACAGAAAAGCAGTAGAAGGAAAAAAAATGAGGTTTTACTTGAAAGTATGAAATTCTAAATTAGAAGTGCATTTTCACAAAAAAACAGGACAATTCATGTCCTGGGAAAGAATATTGATTTTGCGGGAGAGTCGCTCAAAAAAGAGAACCATCCCGGGAAAACCGAGCCAGGTGGCAACCCTACGTATGTGTCATGCTAAACTAAGACAATGACCGTGACAAACATCCCCTGCGTTAACACTATCATGTTACATTAGTTCACATTTAGCTCAATGCACTGCTGCCTAAGTACAGCCTTACAGAGCCACTCGCATAGCTGTAGACTCAGTGTACGACCTGCATCTGCTGCTCTCCATGTGAGCTCACAAAGCAGTGGTATGTCGGCACATGTCAGACTGGAACGCCGCTTCATCACTCTCCTGTTTCCCAGCTTGACTCACATCAGCTCTCCAGGAGAGCAAGATTTTTTCACCTGCACTCCTACAGTGAGAGGACATGACTGAGCCTGCTTCTGTTTTAATTCATCATTATAAATGATATTAATATAAATAGTTCGACTTTGACTTTGACAGCATTGAGGGATAGACTGATGTATTTTTTCCTTAGCTGAACCTTATCCTGACACAAGATTTTTAAAATGTCAGTTTCTTGCCGAACTACTTTATGAATGTGTTGTATTTTTAATTTAGCCACAAAATACAGTAGTATGTTCCTGCAGTAGTGGAGGCTGCATTTCTAGGACTTTTTCACACTAGCGCCAACTAGAGGATAGGAGTGCTGGAGGCTGATTTAACGGCCGCAGTTTCAGGACTGTATTTCTGGGACAGTAGATTGCAAAAACTGCCATTGTGCTAAGGGGTGCATGTTGGGCAGTTTGTGTAATTAGCATAATTAGGTAATTATCAGATAAACTGAAGACTGAAGCACATGCTATGACCTTTGCAGTAACTAGCTCTCGACCAGACATTTGAAAGGCTGGAGAGAGTCAGGACACAAGGACGACTCTGGGGACACATTCCAGATTATATACTGTATATGAATTTTATACAATAATAAATGACCCTCGCAAGTGTGTGCAACAGAGACAGGTGGAGGCGGAGGAGTATGAAAAGAA